AGTGAAAATGATTATTTACATATAGAACTTCAACAGGTACAAAATTGCAAAGAATTTGTATCCATTGATAATGAGCTTCAATGCGACGATGAAAATGAAGATTACAACGCTGCAATCGTTGCTCGAGTTGCAGCAAAACACACGACAGCATCGGAAGACCAAGAAATTGATGATGATGATGCCGTTAATAAGCTGGTGCAAGTGACAACACAGGATGCAAGGAAATGCATTGAAACTTTGTGTCAGTATTTCATGGAGGGAAATGAAGGCAGTCCCATAGCTGCGTTAGATGTTTGTGGCGATTTCATTCACATGAAATCCATCAAGAGAACGCATCAGATCACATTGGATAAGTTCTTCAAATGTTGACTGGAACTTGGTAAGAAATTGCTTTATTGTGCTTCGCATGTTGAGTACCGTAGAGATTGCTTCTTAGAATTTGTTTCTAAATTAATTTCCTCAATGAAAAAAGTTTGATTGCAGTTCTTATTAGTACATGTATGTTCGTCATACGTGTGTACTGCACAATAAAGGTCATAATTACATTTTAGTACATGATTTACATGTACATTTACTATTTGCTACATATAGCACGTCCCGTCTTACAACATAGGATGTGTTTGTATAATTGGACCAGCCGGTTATTAGGACCAAAACGATCGCTTCCTGATGGTGATCCTATTAACTGGAATTGACTGTATACGTTTTTAATACCAGTATATTGAGGGTACCTTGCTAACAGATGGCAGCATCAGGCTTCTCCTTCTCTACTCCATGAAATGACAGCATTTCTTTAAATTATAATAATTTATCATGTAATAATTTGTTTATAATTAACTTACAAGTTGCTTAGGATTCAGTATTATGTTCATGAAGGGATGGGGAGTTTACTGACCCTGCACTAGGACTGAATATAAGTATATTTGTTTCTTTTCATTCTTTTTTTTATTCAGCTCGAGTTTCATTCGTCTCTATTTAGTTAAAATTTTAACTTCAGCACTTCATCCTTTCCCAAGAGAAAGACTCATCGATTTCAAAATTGCCATCTGCGGTCAAAATTCTACACTTGTAGGAGTTAAATGTGGCATGCTAGCCCCCAAAAGACACCTGTTGCTTCGTATTTTCCAAAATTCTAGAATCCAATAAAAATGAAAGGAGGTGATTGACAACTGATTTGTCATTACGGAGTCACGCCTTCTTACCTTTGTGTGGCATAAGATAACACAAAGAGGATGCTCACTTAAAAATATGGGAAATGGGGTGTTATCGGTCAATCCGTCCTTCCTGCACCCAGCTCTATAAAATTTGCACCACTGTAACTTGATTTCATCCAAAACGAAGTGCACTTAAGGCTTATCTCTTAGCGTAATCACAAAAACTGCTGATTTGAAAGCACACCTTTATTCTTATCGTCTTTGTTAATTTCAGATGAAAGACTAGGGAAAAAAGAGAAATTTAGGGTTAGGTTACAAATAGGTTGTTTTTGAAACAAATTGGGAAAATATTTCAAAAAAAAAAATGAGGGAAAATATTTCAAAGGCATGTTTGAGATGCAAACTAGAATTTATCCAAAAGTTGAAAAGGAGCCCCTAGGAAGCCAAAGGAGTTGAAAATCAAAATAAGAGCTTTGAGGTGTATAAAATAATAAAGTTGTTTAACGGTGTTTCTTCCTGAACAAAAAGATATATTACAACCTATATTTACAAAAAATATAAAAAAAGGACCCTTATGGTCCTCGATGATCTAAAGTGTGTGTGTGGGGCGGGGGGACGATTCTATGGTATCATGGTATCATTCTATGGTATAGCATGAACCGTGGTTTTTTTACATATTATCTAAAGCATAAAATATGACTTCAAAAATGCAACATACTTTCTCATCTGAGTCATACTGTTTCATTTTTCAATTTTTTTATTTTTGAGCTGTTATATCTTCTTGTAATACTACACTAGTTCGGTTACAGCAAGATACGATTTACGCATGCAGTGTTATATTTGCTAATTTATTTTATAAAATAATAATATTAAACTTAAATTAAGTTCAAAAGCTTTTTACCCTTTTTTTATATAAGTATGTTCAGCTGGGTTGCATCATCAAAGTGCATAATAACATTTTTTTTTTTTTTTTTAATTTTAAATTTCTACCGAAATTTTAAAAGCTTTTGTCTTTAGACTTACATAACCATATTCAAGCACTCATCTCTACAGATGCACATCAAAAGTATGCAAAATTAATTTTAAAATCAAAAATTAACAATTGGCAGCTACTTCAAAAAAAAAATGTCTTAGCGGGGCGCCGGTATAAAATATATACCGGCTCTCAAAATTTAGGATTTCGCTCTAGATTTTTTTAAGTCTCAATTTTGTGTCCTTAGGGTTCATAAGTTACAGTTCATGCAAAATTTTAACTCAATTTAAATTATTTTATATACCACCCCTCAAAGGGTTAAAATGCACTTAAGACAATTTAGCACAAGGGTGTATTTTCAACACTTAGGTTCTACTTAAATTTTTATCACAATGATCTCAATTTATTCCTTTCAATTTACAGATTTTCCCTTCTCCCCCCCCCTAAAAAAAGAAATTCAAATACATAAGCCTTCACCAATAGTGCAATAAATTACAACAGACAGAGTAAATAGGGTAATTGACCAAAATAGCAAGTTTTTTTTTGCATTTAAAAAATAATGAAAAAAAATCCACCAACTTTGACCAATTAGGCAAATTAGAAAGTAATTTCAATCCCTATTAATGTCTAATTTAAAGCATAAAAACTAATGAACTAAGTAATCAACATTTTAAAGTATGAAAAGCATGCAGCTAATGTAAAATTAAAAATCATAAACACTACTAAAGAAATAACATTATCATTTTTAAAAACAATGTATGAAATCCTTAAAAAAAGAAATCAAAAAATCAGTTTAGCCTTTCCACAATCTTGAATTTTAAAAACAAATTCTTTGGAACCTTTAATTTTTGCAGTTTGATAATTAGTGTCAAATTTTCAAGGACAAATCAATAATAAATGCTAAAAAATTAAAAGCAAAATTGAATTTTAATGGAAAAAAATCAAATAATTTTCTGAATCAAAACAAATGTTATATTTAAATTTGATAATTTCATCTACTCAAAATCGCATTTTCCCTTTGAATTTCTTTTTTTTAAATGCTTAAAAATATTTAAATTCCAAAAATTTTTTCTTCAATTTTTTTTTTGTGCTTTACATCTTCTAACTCAATTATCATTTATTATTTATAAGTTGGTAAGCTATGTTTAGTTTACTTATTTTACATCAAAATTATAACATATAATAAAATTTTTTTTTTCTTTGACCAATAATTTTATTTTACAAAATTTTTTAAAAATTGAAATCTCATTTAAAGTTTTTTTTTTTTTTTTTTTTTTTTTTTTTTTCTTTTTTTTTTTTTTGTTTTTTGTTTTTTTTTTTTTTTTTTTTTTTTTTTTTTTTTTTTTTTTGTTTTTTTTTTTTTTTTTTTTTTTTTTTTTTGTTTTTTTTTTGTTTTTTTTTTTTTGTTTTTTTTTTTTTTTTTCACATAAAAAGAATAAAAGATTCATAAATTACAACAAAAATTGAATAAAAAAAATATTTCTAGATAAAATTTAATTTAATTTGTGGAGATGATTAGTTGTGGTTGAACTTTTTTTGGTAAACTTATTGAGTTTTGTTTTGAAATTGAAGATTTTGGTAGGACTTTTTTTTGTTTTTGTGATTTTGAGTTTTTAGTTTTTTTTTATAAATGTGATTGGTTTGAAGTTGTTTTTTTATCCTAATTTATTATATTTTATTTTGCTATTCTTAATTATTTTTGTTTGATATCAAATTAGAATAATAGTTTGATTCAGAAATAAAAGTTTTATTTTTTTTCTTTTTATTTGTATAACATTTGATTTGTTTTTTTTGATTTTTAAAAAATACATCTAAATCTTTCTATTACAAACAAATATTAGGATGAGTAAAATAAATATACACAGTATTCAGAATTTTACATGAATTTAAATATAAAAAAATTCTCAAATATCTTCTGTTTTGCTTTCTGGTAGTTAGATATGATATAACATAAACAACTAGCATATATGATTATTCTAAATGGCAATATGATTTAGAATATAATCATATAAACAAAGAATTATTTTTTTGCATAGCATATCTAGTTTACCTAAAAATAAACAAATTCTACCTTTATCATGATTAAAGACAAAAAATTATGTTAGTAAGTCTAGTATCTTAATGATCTATTACTTCAATAAACTTGCTATGGTGATTCATTAAATAGCATCAAAACTCATATATAATAGAAAAAATAAAAATGCTGCTCATATAAAAAATAAGGGAATAAGTATTTATCAATTAAATTCTAAAACTCCTTTATAAATCTAGACCATAAAAAACTGGACCTATGCTGTTCTCAATATAAAATAGATGCAAATCCCAAATCAAGCAACCAAATGTATCATCAATATACCGTTTAAGGTTCAGTTCTTTTAAACTCTTATTCTTTTGCATTAATGGATCAATTTTGTTTTACATTTGAGATAAATCTTGTGTGATTTCTTTTTTGATAATTGCATAGTTCCAGCACAGCCAACTATGCCAAATATAGTTTAATTTAGTTTATAAACAAACATTACTGTAACTACTAAATAAATTTTACAACAAAACAAACAAAAAACATCACTCAATTGTTACACAAGCAGATGACGCCTATGCCAACAAAATGAAAGAAGTCTTTTACAGTTCTGCCATATTGAAAATTTACATGGTTCTGATATCAATCTAAGCAAATTAAATTCCTTATAACTAAGTTTCTTCTGTAATCTAACTCATTATATTAAGAAATAATATTTTAAAGCAAAATTTAAATTCTGATTTACATTCTTATTTTTGTTTTTTAAAGATCTGTGACAGTCAATGCTTATATCGCAAAATAGACAAATCTAAGAAAGAGAAATAATTTATTTGAGAGTTAATAACATACTCACTCTCTCGAAGCTTCAGCTGGAGATGAGGGAGCATTATCTTCAACTGATTTAGTCAAAATCACAGCAGTTCCGATGCCCCGAACAACAATACCGGACTCACCTTCCAAGTCAAAACATTGATGATAGCTGTAAAAATATGACAAAGATAATAAAAATTTCATAACTAAATTATTTTACTGCAAATTTTCATATTAAGAAGGTATCAAAACATAAATAAGTAATAACAATTTTTTTTTTTTTTGAACTTCTGGCATAAATTATTCTTTATGGCATTTTTTTCCTCCTAAGAAGAACATGGGCTTAGGTCTAATAACTTTTTAAATCAATAGAATTTTATTAAAACTTATGACAAATTAAGATTGCTCTTTAGACCAATTTTCAATAATTTTTATGATAAAAATTTTGAAAATTAAAACTTTAAAACAATGTTTCCTATTAGAAGTCAGATTATTTATACCTTATGTTCTTCTATATAATGGCTACATGGAATGGCTTTCATATATTTCCTAAATATGACTCTATAAAAAAAAATCCTGAAAGATTCTTTGTAGGAGTTTAGCTTCTGCAAAGGTAGGAAATTAAAGCTTTAAACACTCAAAATTTCAATGGTTAACTAACGATTTGTTTTTGCACTGAGCACCAGCACAAATTCACTTATTAAACTTTCTTAATTTCCATCTCACTTAACTCCCTCATACTGGATGCAAAATAATAATATAGTCACTGCATTGAATTCATTATGAGAAATCCTCTTAGTTCAATGTTTTCATGTGGTATTAAATTAAAACCAAATTTATTACAAAACCTTTTTAGTCTAAATGAGCATTAACCCAGAAGGGCTATTAATTTCATTTTGGCATTTTGGATTGGTTCACTATGAAAGTCTGAATCCCTTTTCAAATTGTTGCCACCAACTATTAGAGCCCTGCATTATATTTAAAGAATTAAATAGTAAAGAATCTGCATAAATGTATTTATGTTTCTCACATTGTGGAAAAAAAAAACAATACCCAGACATCAAATTTTGAATAATGTAATCCTACACTTGAATATAGGCATCTGGAAGCCCAACTTTGGAATATGTTTTATTATCTATTTCCTATTTAGCAAAACTTAACAAATTTTTTATTAACAAACTCAACGATTTGAAACAATCTATTAACATCATGTGCGTTTTCAAGCAAAGCATGGATATTTTATGCCCGAGTTTTCTTTACATTTATTACTGGTATTATGTTGGTAGCTTTGCAATGTCTAACGGTATTTTGAATCGAATGACTTTGAATATCTGTATCACTTTTCAAATTTCGTTTTCAATCTGCTGTAAAAAAAAACACCCCTTTGGGTGCAACATAATATAAAATCTGAAAGCTTTCACACTTTTTTTGTTTTTTTGTTGTTGTTGCTGTTGTTTAACTCTACTGACGATGCTTCTTTCAACTATTTGATACTAGGAATGGTGATGTAACATATATCTTTTTAATTATGAACTCAACTATCTGCCAATCAATCTGTAAATTCATTTCTTTTTCTCAACATTTTAATAGCAAACAAAGACTTTAAATTCAAAACTGTAGTTCACTAAAAATCTTTCCCAGACTGTCTTCTTCATACTAGATTTTATCGTGCTGACAAACCCAAAGTTGGAATCTTTCTTAATCTTCCGTTCTCTCTCTTTGTTCTTAATCACCTATTTTTACTAAGAAATTCAATTATTCGGCAGCCATTGTTATTCAGAAAGATTCTCTACTTTTGTTATTAATAAAGTTTTCGAATATGTTGCTCTTACCAACAAGAACAAAATTTTTCCATTAATCCTCTATCATTTCTTTCCCTCTTCTATCAGTTATAAAACTGCTAACTAGTTCAACTTTGCTTTAAATAATAAAACTGTAATGCAGTTTTTAAAAATGTCACACTAGACTGCAATTCCTGCAAAATTTAAAACTTCCCTTGGCAAAGCAATTTACTATATATAATTTCAACTAAGGAAGTTTTAAAATTTTATATTAACAAACACAAATCTGAAACCAAAAAAGAAATTTTCAAACAAATTAAATCTTCTGCTAAAAATATTCAAAATACATTTCAGAAGGTGAATTAACTTCCTTACATGCTCTTTAAAACTTTATTCGATTGATGTAACCATTACAGTTTTATTTAAGAGTGTTTATATCAATCATGTCAATGCTTTATCTGAGAATAACCAATTCTTCCAATTTTAATTTAGATTTACTTAACAGATGGCGCAATGGCTATATTTTTCATTTCATTTATCTTTTTTCACATTTAGAAGATAAAGTCATTTTTTAGATTTAAGTAAACACTTGTCATGTAGAAATATCTAACTGTTTCCTTTTAAGAAAAGAGCTGACTGAGGTCATAATAATATTAGTAATACTACTAATTATTAATACCTATCAATACATAATAATTATTAGTGCCAATTTGCCTCAAAATATATATAAACATTGATCTAAAATTAATGCCAATCCAAATTTTAATCTTGCTTTACTTTCATCTTGAATTTGCATATTTCTCTTACACGTATCAAAGCATATTCAAAATCAAAAAGCATATATTAACATAAAAACAGGAAAATCATGATAAGACAAAGATTAAATAAATAATTTGCACAACAGATAATATACAAACCCTATAACAGCATTGCCTCCCAACTCCAAAGCTTTTAATCCAATTTTTCTTTGCACTTCACCTATTTCATTTCAATAAGCAATAATATAATAACATAATCCATAAAATTATAAAAGAATAATAACTAAAAAAAGGAAACAAAAAAATCAAAGTATAGAAGCAAATGGAATCATACACAGAACAATAGAAATAGTACATATGAAATAAATTTCAAATTACAATTTTGTGTAGTATTTTATAATATAGTCTGTGTGAAATAGTACATATGAAATAAATTTCAAATTACAATTTTGTGTAGTATTTTATAATACAGTCTGTGTACAGAAATATAAAAAAGGCAATTTCTTCTGACTTCTGCCTAGTTATAGACTGTTTTTTGAGCGATTTCTTATTTTTTAATTTTATTTTCTACTTAATCTTCTTGATTTTATAAACTATATTTACATTAATTTTATGTAACTACTACAAAAAAATAAAAGTATTGTAAAATGTAGAAATGATGTTAGATAAGAAATAAATAACTAGAGAAACGATAAAAACATAGAAATACAGAAAATACTCCGACAATTTATAGATAAATTTAGCTTCTAATACCACTAGACTGAATATATAGATTTAAAATAATATATTTGACAGAAAAGCAAAATATTATTATGTGTATTTTAATTATTTATTATCCCTATTTCATTAAAAATTGAAATTCAGATGAAAGTTCCAAACTCTCCATATTCTCATACTTAAAATCAAATGCATGAAAAGAATTTTATAGATTTTTCTCATGTGTTGTGTTATAGGTTTCCTGCAAATTTACAAGCTTTATATTTGTGACAGCACATGCATTTAATATTTCGGGATGCATGCATTTCTAACCTGGAAGTCAACACAAGAAATCTGGGATATCAATATTTGAACAAATGCATACATATTATTTATGAAAGAAGAAACTTACTTCAAAGTGAAAAAAATGTCAGAACATTATGCAGAATATTTAAAAAGAGTGGCTGCATACTTTATTTCTTTAATAATTAGTCCTAAACATATACTTCATAGTGCAAGACTCTTTTGTAATCATACCCATCAGCAAAATGTTCAGGTTAATTCAGCTTAATAATTTAAATGCAAGAATGCACTACTACTTAACATGCAGAAACCATGGAGATATCTGAGGCACACTTTCTTGACGTGCATCATGTTTAAATGTCAAGCTAACAACATAAACTTACAATTTTTCAACTAAATTTTATGAGCAACTACTTCCTCCCCCTTCAAAAAAAGTTTCTTAGTTTGAGAACTAACAATTCAGTAGGGGCTCCTTATCATTAAATTTAAGGCAGGTCTTATTAAAATGTTTTTCATGCATAACTCTTTCAATTCTGTATGAAAATTTATGAAAACTTTTGCATTTAATCCATCATTGTATAATGTAAATTTTATAAATAGGAATTTTTCCCTAATAAAAACCATATAAAAATATTTTCAGTATCCTCCTACCCCTAGTAATATTAATATTTAAGAGAATAAAATATATATGCAGCCATATTTCATGATCATTTTATATAAATATCTTGCATTACAAAAAATTTCTTGAAGATTCTCATAATTTCTTTACCTCATATTTAGTAATTTAAAACATGTTTTTATGTCACTGTTTATAATGTATCTTCCTGATTCTGAAAGTCACTACAGAACCGTTTTCATTCTATACAGCCAAAGCCCAAAGCATATCTGCTAAAAATTATACATGATGAGAAATCATTGTTACTGAAGTTTTTGTTTTTTTAATAAGTACAAAGCTAAGAAAAACTATGTTTTTCACTGGCATTATTAATCCAGCTGAAGTACACAGTATTTACACGCAGATATTTAGAAGCTTCCGATTTTCGTAACAATGTAAAATGTACCCACAGAATAGGAAATAATTTTGGGCAAGTAAAAAGAATATTACTGAAACTGATTAGACCTTTGAAATACATACCGTATTTACGCGAATCTAATGCGCATCGTTTTTGGCCAAATGTAGTATTCAAAATTGGGGTGCGCATTAGATTCGAGTGCAAAGTTCGCCGATGACATCAAACAAATTTCTCGACTACATTTACCGTTACATTTATCATTGACACATTATTGCATAGAGTATACAAACTGCAGAGTACGTAGTCATGAAATGGAGGGCAAACAGAGAAGAATGTCATATGACGCTACTTTCAAACGTAAAGTAATTCTTTATGCTGAAAAAAATGGCAATAGAAAGGCAGGGAGGGAGTTCAACGTAGCTGAGAGCAATGTTCGTTTGTGGCAGCAACAGAAATCGGCACCGTTTGCAACTAAAGCTAGTAGAAAGAAATTCACTGGCCCTCGCAAAGGAAGTTTGAAGAAAATTGAAGAAAAGTTTTGGAATTTGTACGTGAAAGGAAGAAGAAGTGACTAGTGACACCATAAGAAATAAAGCAAAAGAGGAGGCTGAAGTTCTTGGAATACCGAAGCAAGAGTTTAAGGCTAGCCGTGGATGGGTGGATCGGTTTATTAAGCGGATGGGTTTATCTCTAAGATGCCGTACAACAATATGCCAAAAGCTTCCTGCAGATTTTGAGGGAAAACTACTAACATTTCAGCGGTATGTCATCACACTTCGGAAGGAAAAGAATTTTTCAATGGGGCAAATTGGCAACGCTGACGAAACGGCAATTTGGTTTGATATGCCTCGTAACTACACCATTACGGAGAAGGGGACTAAGGAAGTTATCATCAAGACTTCGGGATGTGAAAAACAACGCGTAACAGTGATGCTGGCAATAACAGCAGATGGGTGCAAACTTCCCTCTTTCTTAATCTTCAAACGGAAAACATGCTCTATAGCCCCTAAGAATGAAAAGCCGTTCCCAGATGATGTCCTGATTCGAAACCAAGAGAAGGGGTGGATGACGGAATCATTAATGCTTGATTGACTCCGAAATGTATGGAAACGCCGTCCCGGTGAGCACTCTAATCCACCATCAATGCTTTGTCTGGACGCATTTCATGGTCATCTCACCGACGACGTAAAAACAAAGATGCACAGCCTAGCCAGTGATCTTGTTATCATTCCTGGAGGGATGACGTCTGTGTTACAACCCCTGGACGTTAGTATAAATAAACCTTTTAAGGGGTACGTTCAGGCGGAGTACGAAAAATGGTTTTGTGAGCCAAACCGTGTATTGACCCCGACAGGAAAAATTAAGTGCTGCACCGCACATTGTTGCACACTGGGTTTCTGCTGCCTGGAAAACCATCGAAGCACCAATGATTGTGAAATCTTTCAAGAAATGCTGCATTTCAAATTCATTGAATGGCAGTGACGATGACGTACTCTGGAACGATGAGGAAAGAAGAAATGAATCTGCTTCTGACGAAGAGAGCTGCGAGGATTCCAGTGATGAAAACATTAGTGAATAAAGACGTTTACTATTAATCACTGATTGTAGAAACTGTTAGCTAGATAGAAATGTTACGATTTATTTCATGTTCATATTTTACGATAGGTACCGTATATACAGTAGTGCTAATTAACAACGATTGTTTCACATGACAATAGCCCACTAATAGGTTAATTCTATGTTCTGCTACTTTATGTATAAATCCATTGTTGTATAAAATATGGTATCTAAATTTAAATAAAATTATCATACCATTGATTGTTAGTTTATATACAAATCCATTGTTGTATAAAATAAGATTCAATAAATTCCTCATATCATTGATGCGCATTACATTCACCGACAAACAATATTTTATTATTTAAAGTTTTAAAATGGGGATGCACATTAGATTCGATGGCGCATTAGATTCGCATAAATACGGTATATACATAATATCACTGTGTCTTTATGTGTGCTTTATAACATGCTATGTTTATTATTTAAGCTGCTTCTTTAGAAATAGTATATACCACATAATTTTCCCCTCCTAGTTTTCAAGCAATAAAATTAGTAAGAAAAGGGTAACAAAATATGTGAGTAAATATAATATATCCCTGTAATAGAATTTTATTTATAGCTCTTCTACTGTAGAGTAAGCATATCAGCTTTAAAAGCGTATGTAAACCATGTTGTGTTTTATACAAAAATATAAATATATGCCAAACTTTGCAGTAAAAAAAAGAGTTATGATGAAAAATGTGACAACTATTCCTCAGTGTAACTTACTTTATATTGCTCTACTATCATTCCTCTGAAATAATTGTATTGTTAAAAAATATACATATTACATTAACACATAATAATTACATTACATATATATAAGAGACATATATAATATTTATATATAATACATATTAATAAATAATAAACATATGTTTATTATTATGAAAAAACTGAAAGTTTATGTATAACAAAAATTTAACACTTTATAAATTTCTTTTACTGCCTCTTTAATTTAAAGTAATTTTTAAATGTTAGTATTCTATCATCATCAATAATCATTTGGAAAACTTTGTGAACAACATACGATTATAGAATGGCTTTGTAATGCAGGGGAAAAAATTCAAAGTTTATATCACCTGACAGCTTAGAAAAGAGTGTTTGCCTAGCTTCATTGGATGCTCTTGGAGTTCTTATTTTATCAATCCACTGATACTCAGGATCATCATTTACCACAAGTTCCTCAACAAATCCAAGAATGGCTTGAGCTCTGAAGCCCCAAGGAATACTGCAACCTAGGAAATATATTTAATTGTTGAAAGGGAATAGACAACATGCAGATGAAAAATTTTTAAAACATATTTAATGTGAGACATTTCAAAAGTGATTTTCATGCTGTATCAAAGAATATACTACTTTATTTTCATAGTAACTTCAATTAATCTATTTAAAAAAAAAGACTGCTGCATAATGTAAATATATGCAATGTAAATGTAAGACAAATTAAAGGTAATAATTGTTGTAATCTGTACAATAGTTTATACAAGAATTAAAATTTCCTAATCTTATTCACACATATAAAATAAAATGAAAGATGGATCACTAAAAACTTTTCACAACAGAACTTTCAATTTCTGATTTAAAATATAATTACAACTCCCTTCACATTTGCACTGATGCCTGCAGTATTCTACATTGCTAAAACTCTTGCCCAATCACTACTCAAAACTTCAGCAAAGAATTTCCAAGTACTTCAGCTGCCTTATGTGCACTCTTTTTTGCTGCTTGCTTATGCCTAGGAAAGCCACTATCTTGTTTTTCTCTTCACTAAGCTTATTTTTCTACTACCTAAATGTAATTTTCTAAATGTAAACTGTGCATATTAAATTATGTGGAGTTTTAGCATCCCCAGTGTAGCATCAATCAAGGATATACCCTAAGAAATTAATAAATTATATGATGAACACAGCATGTTTGTCTGCAACTTCTTCTTTCCATCTATAAAACATTTTTAAGCTATCTTTCCATGATGCATTTTATTTGTGTACGAGCTACATCTCTCAACAACATTTCAGCCATGAATAAAAGTGAACTAGTGTCTTCTCCACTAAATTCTCTCAGCATACCCCCTCTCAATCATCACATATACATAAACTTTTAAAAAGCAGAGTGCCCCTGTGAAGGTCTTTCATAAGCCAAAATGGCATAAAACAAGCCTTACTTAAAAAGGGAGATAAATTATAGCACTAGTTAAAAAGCTGGTAAATCTCAAATCATACAAATAAAAGTTATGATATGGATAGTCCAGATGTTATGATAAATGAATGTTATGATAATAATATTATGATAAATGGATAGTCCAGATGTTATGATAAATGGATGGTTATGAGAAGAATGTTATGATAAATATATAGTCCAGATAAACAGGAATAACACATACAGAATAGCTTCACTTTTTTAAGGTGAAAATATTCTACATGTGTTATTAAGATGAAAAAATAGTAAGCACAGTCCAAGACTTAAAGTGATGACAATGATTATGATGTATTAAGTTGAATCAATGGAGATGCTGGAACTTTGAGTATAACTCATGCTTCTACATAAGATACCTATCACTTCTAACATTAGTCCACAATACCAAGACAAACCAGCTATAGGTCTGTGATAGCCTTCACCACATGTGTTGTTACTCATGAAAGGGCTCCCAGACGATATTTTTCAATTAGTTACACACACAGCAAAAGTTTCGTATGAATGCCTCCATCACATTACCACCCTTCCCTGGCCTGCCAACCCCCATATTTGTTACTGATTCAGCATATGTCAGGTACTTTGGATGGCAAGTTGGGCAGCATAAGAATTTGATCAAACTAAAGTTACCACAACTATGAGATGAAATGATGCAAGACACCATACAAGATTTGAGCACCTCGATGCTTGTTCATATTGCATATTGTATTCACACAACGAAACAGGATACTAGAACCTCCATATGATAGTAGTTTTTCCTGTTATAAATTATTTTTTGCTTTCATTTTATATTCATTTGCATCAACATTGCACTTACACATATAAAATTTTATTTAATTCTGACAATTCTTTCTTGGTGCACAAATTTTTTATAATAATGAGAGCATTATTAAAAAATAAAATGAGGATTTAAATCATTAAGAATATATTATTGCTTTAAATTGCTCAGCTTGTTAAACAATAAAAAAATTGGAAAAAAATTAAAAATTTGGAAATTTTTTAATTTTTAAAAATTTAGAAGATAAATTTAAGATTCTTATGATATGCCAAATTGTAACATTTGGAATTTGTTAATGGGCTGACAATATGGATGATAAGATGTTATATGTTTCTCACTTGCCAAAGCTCATAGATGATAAATACATAGTAGTGCAATACAATACAATATAATGAAATATAACAGTACAGAAACTTAGAACGAATTCTGCTGAAAGTATATTTAACAAAAACTAAAGGTTCAAATTGTTTGAGAAGTACCTTTATTTTTAAATAGTTAACAATCATACATAAATTTAATTTGAGAGCTTATGCTTTGCAGAATGGCAACACTATGAGAAATGGCTTTTGGGGATGCAATGTGCCATGGATACGGATAGATGCCAAGCATCACCCTAGACAGTCCAGGATTTATAACTGTGTCCAGGACTTTTAAACAGGATTGATTATATAACTACTTAAACGGCTTTGCCACTAAATGCATCAGCTCTAGTACTTTTTTTTTTTTTTTTTTTTTTTTAAACATCGACAATATTTTTGCCTTTGAAGAGGAGTCACATAGGTCAACATTAAAAGAATTTGAACTTGAAAGTGAATTTCAAATATTTAACAATTTATAAAGAATATAAAATTCATGAAACAATTTCTGAGTAAATTATTAGTTAGTGAAAAATATGGATGAATAGAATAAGAAGAATCTCAGCCATCCATATCACAGAGGTGAATTGCTGCAGAAAAGTACACAGTCTACTTTTCAATATCTTGTTTATTTTGTTGTCATTGCTAAATAATTTATTTTTATATATCATCATATATCTGACACACAAGCTTGTGCACCATACACATGATAATCTTTCTAATCACTGAAATTAATTAATTTTATTTAAAGTGCACTAAATATAGACATTTACAGAAAAATTTGAGAGAAGAATAAGAGACAATAGCATGAATGTTCTTATATAATTCTTTAATAGGGGCTCACCGGTAGATTACAGAATACAATATTGCATCAATAAAAAAGACATGTATTATGCATACAATCCATATGCATCAATACAAAATATACTTTTTATGCGACAGGATCTCGTGTGTGACGAATGTGCATGATCATAATTTTTGCTCTGAAAATATGGTAACCATGAAAGTAAATATGTGAAAATATTGATCCAAAAATTTTGGAAAGACTTCGCTGAAGATATCTCTAATGTCAACAATAGTTACACATCTTCCAAGACAAAACAGATTGGGAAATAATTTGTTAAATTTAAAATTATTGAATTTATTTTCCTCCCAAATTTCAATGATAAATCAAATTTATCATAGCATATACAATGATGATAAGAATTATGTCTCAAAGATTCATAGATAAATAAACTTGAACAATGATTTTCAGTTAAACTATATAATTAATATTGTTAATATTTTATTCAATACATGTAATTAACTAAGATTTTTAAAAACATTTAACAAATTAGAAAATTTTTTCAAAAAAGAATTTTTGCTTGTAAAGATGACATGCTCTTTTTTAACACTAATTTCCGATACCTGCCAAGTACTAAATTATACCTACCATCTTAATTTATAATTCATTAATTTATAATAATAAAAAAAACCATAGTTTTATGATGCAAGGTCGAAATCTAAATACTTACTGTAAAAGAACTGTACTCCACAAGAAGATTCCCGATATTTATTTGAATCGCTAAATAAATGGACTCGAACCATTACGTTGATTTCCCCTCGAATACCTACAACAAAAACAAAGAAAATATTATCTTGCTAAATTTAAGAACTTATTCCAATTAGTAGTTGAATAAAAATATCACTTTTATGATTTTAATTAATTTTTCTAATTATCAAAAATAATATATAGGGAAATAAATTTGTAAAACAAGAATATGAATAAATTAAAATCAAAATACAAATAGATAATATTTTTGTTGCTAAAAAAACATTACAAGTAAGTACCAAAAGTGAACATAAAGAACAAAGTAATTCAGAAAAGGTGAATTTACTTCAAAAGTGCATGCCATACAAAAGAAAAAACATGAAAATAATATTCATAAAGCTTACATTTTTGCCATAGCATGCAATTGCACAAAAGGAAAAAACTATGCTAGAAGAAAACAGAGAAACTATGCTAGAAATTAACCAAACAAAGGACTGTCAACAGCATCTACAAAATTTTAACAAACTACAGAAAATGGGACTGACAACTTTATATTATTTATGGATTGCTGGAAATAATATTCGATGCAATAGCAGATAAAGATTTCCAAAATGTTAATGTCAAAAATATCACTAAGAATATGTGACTCAGTATAGTTGATAAATATTGAGATTTTTATAAAAATAAAAATTTGCAACCAGTTTTAATGAACTTTTAAATACTGGTAAACACAAAGAATCTTATATTCATTAGAAAAATCAGTACTCTTCTGTTATCGGGACTGGATTCAGAAATGTATGTATGTATATACATACATGTGTGTACAGTATTAAAACATATACATGTGATGATAAAATTTAGTTTGGCAGTTGGGAACTTTTGAAGAATCAAAAAAATCACTTGATATTCCAAATACACCTTTATTACTTGTGGCACTTCATAATGGGGGGGGGGCAATCTGCACCTCACAATTTTGATGACGGCGCACTACATTTTAAACAAAAGCAGCAAAGCAAGAGATGTCCTTCAGCCAACAAGCACAAGCACAGAAAGAGGGTGGGGTAGAACTGCAACAATATTTATAGTAAAAATTTTCGTTAATCTGATTGGCTAAAACTTAGGCAATGCAGAAGTTTCAAGATGACATAATGCGGAATACGTTTTCAGATATGACACAGTTTAGAGAAAGTTATTATTAGAGACAAAGTATTTAAATTAAAAATGAGCAATTAAGAGGCATTTTAAATTATAATTTTGATTTGCATTTTTTTATCTTATATATCCCCTCCCCTTCAAAGAGAAAAAGGCTTAGCGACAGAAAAGCCTTTATAGAAGAAAGCATTAAAATAGTGGCAAAACAAAGGAAATGCAATTTAAAAAAAAATAATTATAAAATTTTGATCTAAATGTTTTAAAATAACACAATCTTGTAGATATCACTTTTAACAAGAAATGTAAATTAAAAATGCTACTGAAATTTTGCAAATTCATTTTTTTGTAAACATACTGTAAAAAAAGTCCAAATTTTTTCAATAAATAACAGTACAAGTTCAGAGTTCTTGGAATATTTACTTGAGTATCAGAATCATATTTTGCAATCCTTGGCTTGAAAATCTTCAGTAAAAATTGTTGTTGTCAAAATAAAACCCAAATTTTCTTTTACAGATTAAACAAACTTCATAATTTTACCTGCTTAGGGAAGGTTTTTTTTTTTAACTATTCAAATATAAAAATTTTAAATACATCTATAAATTATGTTACAAAATTACAAGAAATTTCAAAATACATAATGTAATTAATTCATCATTGGAAACGTTATTTGAAATATTTTGTTGAAATTATGCTTTTTACTATTATTAGATGTTTATAGTTTACTTATTCTTTACAAAACCTGAAGACCACACAGCTTTCTCTAAATACTAACATATTAATCATATTGGCATATCCAATCGAGCGAACTGGTGTATTTATTCTGCACTAGTGGCCAAAAGAATGCCAAATTGGCAGTTACAATATAAAAGGCCTCCGTTCCTTGGATAGAGGCAATTGGCCTTTTTGAACTGCTCTATCATCCATTACTTAATTAACTACATTCCATTATATTAAAAAATAATTACTACTATATACAAAAAAAAGTGAGAGCCTTCAAAGTTTATGTCACTTCATTCTTAAAATGATTAGGAAATTCTTTCTTAGAATTCAAATTTTCAAACAAAAATTTCTTTGTTAAAATAATAAAAAAAATCAGAATATTATTTCAAAAGTATTTAAACAATAATGCAAAAATATATAAATCATGTTAATAACCTTCTATAAATAAAATGTGTACTAATCTTTTAAATTCGTTTTAAACATAATTATGAAAATCAAATTTTTGATGCCATAAAATTCTGCTCTTCATAAAATGAAGCAACATTTTAAAAATTCTGTACAATACGAAAAACAGCATATCTAGATTTTTAATATAACAACATTGATTAACAATTAGATATTTTTTAAAAATGATATTTTTAGTTGCACTAAATAAAACCTTTTGTTAAAAAAAAAAAAAGTCCATATCACAAAACTTAGGAATCATAAGGAACAAGATTGAACTTAAACTGCATTTAAAAATTTTTAAATGCAAAATTTATACATGGTTTTTCTTAAGAAGACATGCTAGTATTTCTCATTACCTTATACATTTAATTCTGCATTCCAATAGAGCATAATAAAAAAAGAACATTACGTTTTTCTTACACATACAAAACTAGATGATATAACGTATTTTTAGTTTCCTTTAGCTGCTGAAAATTCTGTTCTTGAAACATATGTCTCTTGAAACAGAGTTAGACAATTATAAATCCTATTCCAATAAATTTTACTTTTTTTATCCATCAACATTATAAATAGAAATCAGATCACATATTAAGTGCCTTGAAAGCTGTTTACAAAATATTATCAATCCTTTCATTCTAATTTATTTAAATTAAAAGATACTATTTAAACTAATTAAATATAATATTTTTCATCAAATCCTTAAAAGTCCATTCTTTCTCTATATATCATTAAAATGATATAAAGAGGCAGCAAGTGCACATTTTTTTAAAATACAGAGGTGGTGGTGGTATTCTATGCAGATGTGCAAAAGAATGCTATCCTAGGGTTTCGAGAAAAGAGAGACATAATTTCGGGAAAGAATGCACTGCTGACCTGAATGAATTTGCGGGATTAAGAGTCTGATATTTTATCTGAATGAATGAAAGCACAACAATTAATATGCTTTACATAAAGGAAATTATCGTATAATTAATAATTATCTGATAATGAAAATTTTCAAGTTAATAAGTTATGTCATTTCTTTTAAACAAACAGAATTTAGGTACGTAGAAAATCTAATATCTGTATGCTCTTCTTTTCCTTATTTTTAAATGTATAATTTTTATATCCAACATATAACACCCACCTGTAAATTCCAATCTTATTTTTTGTAATAAAAGTGTGTGTATACGCCATAATGTATGGTAAATGCTAGAAGAAAATACTTTAAGCATACATAATTTCTATTATATCAAAACATGACTTTCATTAGATGAATATATAATTTTACTTTAAAAATTAGAATTACCATGCATTGTGTCATATATAGGAAACCACCCAGACAGAAGAGAACCAGCTTCTTTACAAAGCAAAGGATTTAAATCAATGTATACTTTTCCAATAGCATCATTTGCACTGTATGTGTCATAATCCATAACCCTGGGGAAGAAAAGAATATTTTATAGAATTTAGTGTTAAAAATTTTAAATAAATAGTTACCTTCCATTTAAAATTATATACATATTTTATTTATGTTCAATACAGCATAGAAGTTTCATTTAAATAAAAAAAATTTTTGAAGAAAATGGTAATATGTACAATAAATGTTCAACTAACTGGAAATCAACTAAGAGAGAAGTGGGAAGTTCATATGGCATGACAATATATGAGAGATTTCAAAGTTCACTTCAAGCATTTAGTCTGTCTATTGTGAAAAACTACTCTTGCCAGTTTAATGCAGTCCATTTTAATCACACAAAAACTGTCACGAAGTAGGGCCATTTGGTACCAATAATTGATAAACATGACATCACAACACAATCATAAGATCTTTGTCTTAATTTTATACAAACTAGGATAATTTTTAACAAGCCAGTTTAGATTTTACAAAAGAGGATATAAATTAACTGCTATTTGTCTGCTTTTTCCCTCCATTTAAAAAAATGATTGAAATTTAGGACTATCCTCCCCCCCCCCCAAAAAAAACAGCATGCAGTGGAGGACTTTCAAAATTACACTATCCTGACATCAAGGAGAAAGTGCATTAATGGCTATGATAAGTGACTTTATTTGAAAATGGATAAACAGTTGTGATGTAACATAAAAGAAGTACTTGCATATTAACACAACCACCTTGGTGCAATTTAGCCATTTTTTACAGATGAAGAAGTAAAAATTACTTATTGGCTGCAAGTTGGCAATCTCCAGGATTTTTTTTTTAAACATTCCCAATTCATTAATATTTGGCGTAAATCAGAAAACACTATCAACATCAAAAGAGAAAGCACTTTAAAAGTTTTAAAGTAGAAATTCATATTATTAAATAAGAGTTATATGATACATTTAAAAAATACAGGTAATCCTTTAATTTTTTTAATGGAGTGTTTTAAATGGGGCTTTTCCTCATCTAAACAGCAGTCAGTTTTTGCTTTGAAAACATCAGGGAATTGTAGAAACTTGGCACTGCACTCCAACTATTTACCAAATGCAAATCATTGTTCTCTTTAATGATTTTGTGGCAAAATACTGGATTCTTTCTGAACTTTTATCGAAATTTCTTCCATTGTTGACAAATTCGACAAGTGATATTAAGCTGAAGGCAAAAAATATCACTATTAGTCTATAAAAACTGTTTGAGCTTAAAATACAAGAAGAATGAATATGAAAATGGCAACACTGCTAACTGTTATGATCATGGTTGCATAACGAATGTAATGCATTGTTGCCAGATTCCATATTCTGAAAATTTAGAAAATTCTCCTAAGTGGTTGTGATAGCACAGAAGTACCATGAACAATTAGTAACAAGTAATTTAAGTATGACTTGTATATCTTGGTTTAACTAAATAAAGAAGAATCGATTCCTTCAAACTTCTGCAGGATAAGTGGCACGAGTTTGATGGAATCTCTATTAACTTCCATGGTTAACAAGATTTTATAATTGGGTATGATGTTTTACTTTCATAAGTTTAAAACAAAAACAAAAATTATGTCAGTTTTTCTGTCTGAAATAGATTTTTTTCAATATCTTATGCAATGTTAAAAGTAGGCTTTTGACATTCAAGTTGGTAAAAAATAAGATGACTGTTTTTATAATTTTAGACCAGAAGTTTCTTCGTTTATTCATTTGGCTGTATTTTGAACTGTATTTTTTTATATAGTTGGAATCTTTGGCAGATACTTAAAAATTCCAACTACATAAAAAAAAATTATTATAATCTCACCAGATTATAATTATTTTTTTATCCTAATCTCTCCAGATCGTCGAAATTTTACCGTACTGTATATTTTCAAATATAGGCTTATCAAAGTAAGATTTTGCCTAAAAAATTTCCATCCAAATTTAAACTCCTGTATAAACCAAATTTAAAATGACCCTATAAATCTATGCATGTGCCTAAAATTGGGAAACTGACTATCTAACTCATCTAGAGCTATTAGCCAAGCTGAAGGTGAGTGACAATTCACCTTACTATTAACAAAATAAGGATGGCAGCATCAAAAAACGAATAGCTACTTTTGGTATACTAACAGTATCCATTTCTCAACTGTTCGACATTTTGACAATGTGCATTTGACACTCTGGCAACTAAATTTATTTTGATTGTCAGTTGTGGCAATCATTCTCAAGCAATCACTACATTTTTCACCTCACTTGCACATTCACTTTCAGAAAAAGTAATATCATTTTCCTCTGAAAAGTTGAAAAATGTAAGTAACAGCTTAAGTTCATACTCATTTGATATAGGTCACATGATTTATTTTAAGCCACTTGAAATGTTCAGTTGGTTCTAAATAATTGATCCAGTTAATGCCAACGGATTCTAATATTTCTTTTTTAAACTATGACTTATATACCTTTCCTTTATGTGTTAGAAAACTGCTAGTTTCTGTTTGCTCTGTGTCCTCAAAGGACCTAGGTTAATGGTAGAAACAAAAGGAGCAATGAGTTGAAAAAGGCAGCAATTTAACAGTAAGATAACACCGATTTTACCCAGGAAAATTTTCTTAAAAATGAAAAGTATTAGATGATAGTATAATAGTATAAATAAAAGGAACAATGAGTAAAAGAAAAAAAATTAACAGTAAAATAATATTGATTTCATTCTGGAAAATTTCTCCAAAATACTTAATTTCTCAACAGTCAAGTAAACTGAAATGATCCTATGTGTGTTGCTGATATTTCAGATGTGACACTTCATGTAATATGCATTAAAATAGTACAGTTTGAACTTAAAAATACAATATTACAAGTGAGGATCACCATATAACCTATAACCTTTTTATGAGGTTTGACCTTACGTGAAAAAAAAAGCACGGTAATACCAAACATAAAATTAGACGAAAATCAACTTCATAGAAAAATGCACTGATTTTAAGAGAGACAAGCACATAGTCTCTCTTCTTCAAACAGAATTTCTAATGGAAAACATGTTTTACTTCTTGAAGGAAAAAGAATCTAAGTCTGTTTTGACACAGTTTATTTGCAAAACCTACAGTAGTGTCAGGTTAAACGTTGCCTTATTTCATAAATATTTAATAGCCATACACAAACATAATTATTTCAAAACAATTTGAGTTAAAGTTAAGACCTCAGTATGGTGCAAAACAATCCACTACCATTGACTGATTCATTCATAAAAGCAACACGACTGCAAAATCCTGATCTGATAGCACGTAAGATACACAAAAATATTTCTGAATTTTTTTTTTTATGTGAAAGGAAAATATTATAGGCCAAAAACATGAAAATTAGATTTAAAAAATTCTTTTTACAGAATAATTGAAATCAAAATTCAAATATTTGAGAGAGATGAAAAAAAGTTTCTCATTTGACTTTCTAGTGAATGGATGCATTATGAGCACATATTCTCCAACTGAAAAACTTCATTAATTCTGTAAGTAATACAGAACTGTAGTTTTTTTTTTTTTTTTTTTCAAAATAAATTATATTTTGAACCCGAATACTTACTACAGCATTCTCCAATAACAAACATCATTCTAAAAGCCTTGATATGCTATGAAGTAGTTTTTCTATAATGTATACCACCAGTACAATTTTCTAATAAATGTTGAAAATATTTTGCATAAAAGAAAGACTTATAAAACTCAATTGCAATAGCTATCACAGAATCTGGATCTAAATGCCATCAAGTTTGGGATAAACTTAAGATACCAGAGATACTTAGGATACTAGAGAAGTGAAACTTCAATGTTTTGAACATGAAAAAAGGGGGGGAAATGTAGTTAAAAGACGGAAACAAATTACACTTGTACTTACTGAAAACTGTTTGCTAAAATATCTTAATAATGAAAAGCCATACTAAAGCTCAATATGGAAGAATCAGGACTTAAACACAAAGAAATACTTTCACTGCCCTTCTTGGTATGTAATAAGTAAAATTATTTTCAATTTCCCAACTAAAATAACATTTTTATATTTTATTATATCACAGTTTTACTAAACTATTTTGTGTCACAAATTTTTAAGTGTGTTCATGTTTTTTAAGTAATCAATAACTAAGTATTTCTATTTGTATCTGATTTAAATTTGAAATTGTAAAGAGCGTAGTGGAATATATATTATAGTATGTGTTAAAATCTTTAACTAGTTATTTTACTACGTTACAAGTAACTTTAAATCTTTAACTAGTAACTTTAATCTTTAACTAGTTATTTTCAAACAAAAATAGGAAGCATTTCTTTGGATGGAAATGACATATGTTGAGAATGGCTTTTATATTAACAGGGGGTCAGAAGGCAGTTAATATTGTTGTTCCCTGGGGGAGGGTTTGTTACTGGGCAGTAAAAGAAAATCTTAATTGGCTCTCACTTTCACTTTCTTTTGAGAGTGCTGCAAAAGTTTGTAGCGTTGCGCGCCTCCAACTTGCACGCAACCACGAGGTGACTGTGAAAACTGGATAAAAGACAGAGTCTTGTGAAGGGTTTAAGTCCCTTTTTATTCAACGTAATAAATTACAATTGCGTGCTCTTGACGCTCACAGACTGCGCCAACTCGGCGGTCAAATAAAAATAATAACCTGAAAAGAAACTAAAGACAAGATTCTAACTACGAGGCTCTCTAAAAATAACTAACTCACCGCGTTTTACACTACCGCTGCTAATTCAGCAGACTTGAAGCTCACTTGAACGATTAACATTACTTCCCGCCAACCACATAGGCCGAAACGCGGGGGTTCTTCAATTTCTCGCTAACTACCTCCGCCTCGCGCTCGTGAAGTAAGAATATCACACACCGAACTCGTTTCCTTTCTATTTAAATCAGAATACTTCCGCTGATAATTTGAATCCTTGCGCGTTCTACTAAAATTTACATATTCTGGCATTGGCAGTTCCAGGGGAAAGTAAGGCTTGACAGGAAAGATAGTTTAAACTTAAAATAAACGTTAGTTAAAATAAATATAAACCCTACATTTGCCG